CCCAAATCACTGTGTTCTTTGTGTGTTCTTTACTTCCGCATGTCAAATCAAATGCTCATGATTCACATCAATTGGTATCAGAGCGGGTCTTCGAATATCAACATGATTTTTTTAAGAAACGGTTCTCAGTTTGGCTACAATCATCACAATTGAAACATTTATGGCGAGTCTCTCTATGATCTCTCTAAATCTCGTTGATTCGTGCTTGTGTTCTTGAATTTTTGATCATTTTGACTCATTGGATCATTTTTTTTTGAAAAACTCATTTGTTGTGATCCAATAATTTTTCCGTTGATCAAAGTCGATCCAATCTCATATCTGTTTGTTTGATTCGATTCTAAATTTGCAAGGGTTCATTTTAATCCAGATTTAGCCCAAAACCATTTTAAATTCGTTACTGTTCATCTAACAAGTTCGAAGTCCAATCCAATGATGATCAGTTGGTTATCAAGTCGTAAGCCCATTTTGATTACTCGAATACTGTTCATGAGTCAGTTTCTCTATCTAATCCTTTCGTGTATCGTTGTTCATTTCTTTGAAGTTCGATTTCATATCAATGAGCGTCAATAATTTGAAATCAAAGTCAAATAGGCTGATGATTCTAGTTCATATCTGGAATTAAATCTCGAACTAGTTGATATCAAAATGGATTCGACTGAAATATGATTTTTCACTTGTTTATTGTTCGTGATCATTCATCAGAATCATATTTTGATTTTCAATCCAATGGAATTTCTAGGCTGAAATTTTAATGTGTTGGCATCGATTTTCAACCAGAAAGCAAAAACAGGAACGCAAATGTTGCTTGTAATGCTAGAAATCGATTTGATTGAGGAAGTCAAACTCGAAGATAAAGTCAAAATTAGATTTTCTATGTTTTGTGTTCGATGATCGAAGTGCTTCAAGTTTTGATTTCGAATTTGATTTGGAATCGATGGTTGATTGATTTTGATTTCGAAGATTTGTTGATCGATGGTTTGGTTTGGCGTCAATGGTTTTGCTATCTCATCGATTTCAGTTCACGATTTGGTTCATATGAGAGTCGTGTTTACAGTTGAATGGTTACATATCGATGTTCGATGGGAACGAACATGGTAAAGTTGATAGTGATTTCGAATGTTGTACACTCATTTCAGGATCGATGGTCGATTGATGGGTGAATGGTTGAATGCGAAGGTTTCTAATTGATTTGTTAATGTCGATATGTTAACAGTCTTTAGGAACGATTTTTTATGGGAATTGAAGGCTTGAAGTGAACAGTCGAATGATCTAAGTGTTTGGAATCACATATCCGATTTCGAAGATTTGGAGTCGATGGTATTTCGAAGGATGATTTGGTTAATGTCGACGTTTGATAACGACTCTGGAACTTGGACTTGATAATCGAAGACTTTGGGTTGATGAAGTTTCGAAGGCTTGATGCCTAAAAGCGAAAGTATGGCTTTGGAAAGGTCAATGTTTGGAAGATTTTTGATCGCGAAGGACGAAGGTTTTGTATCGATGATCGACTGGAACTAAAGAAGAAGAAGATAATGGAAAGTTTCGAATTTAATCCTTTAAGTTTTGAATGTTTGACAATTTCTACCCACTTTCGAAATGAGGACTAATTTTTCGAAAGTTTGAAGAATTGTGCAGTTGTTTCGAAATTGTTCAGGAAACGTTTCGAAGATTTGGCAGAATAAACCCACCTTCGACATTGGGCTGGAATTTTGAGAAATGGAATAATTTTCGAATCAGGCCCCTGCAGTTAATGCGAATTGATGCTTTCTACCCAGTTTCGCAAATGGGGGAGAGTTTCGCATTTTTGGCTGTTTTGGGCGCACTGGGTCACTGCAAAATTTTGAAATTGACAATTTTTACCCAATTTTGAGAAATCTTGTCAAAGGCGGTCCGTGAACAAAGCTAAAAATTGAAGATTCTTTGGATTTTTTGGAGTGAAGCAAAATGTTTATGCATGTGTTAAGGGGGAGTTTTGGATAGAAAAATTCTGAATTGAGCACTTTCTCATTCCTTTCTTGGTTTTATAATCATTTTTCGATTATAAAAAGGGGGAGAGATTTATATGGAAATTCGATAATTGAATTTTTCATATTACGCGGACTTGAAAACCGAAGTGACCTTGAGTATTGGAAATTTATGGAATGATTCGATTGAAGATTCGGAAGTGGTTTCGATTCATGATGGGTTTGGACTTATTAAATATTTTTGGAGTGTGCTTTTATGCTCAAACTTAGATAATTTTTTTGGAGATTGAGAAACTCCTAATTACCTTTTGATGCTCGGTTCGTATGGTCTCAATTCTAGAACCCAAATTGAAGAATCATGGAAGAATTGAATATTTGATGTTCGTCTCTACATGTGTCACGTTTGAGGCTCGGTTCATGAAGTTGCTCGAGTTTGGAAGATTTGAAGCAGGTCATCAATTCCTAACTTTGAGGGGGAGAATGTTGGGTACAAAGTTATCCATGTATGACTTTGTAAATGGTTTGACTTTTGTAGACCCACTTGCATGTGGTAAAGTAGCCTTGTGACATGAGAGATAGAGAGAGATAGACATGTAAACACCTCTATATAAGGTGGGTTCATTCCACATGTAGATGTGTGCTTAGTGTGTGTTAATTATGTAGATTTAGATCTAAATCCTTTTTTGTAACACCTTTCATAATCGAATGCATCTCTTAAACACCCAAATCACCGTGTTCTTTAATTCCGCATGCCAAATAAAATGCTCATAATTCACATCAGAAGTAGAGCTTTCGGCTTAGAAGTTCTGCCCACGCAGAGTCCGATTTCTCGCTAAGCCACCTGTAAGTTAAGTTACGTTTACTGTACTTTAAGTATAACTTATATTTAAGTTCATTATCGTTATTATGACCCTATACACAAGATTTATCAGTGATTCCAAGTCGTTATACTGATTGATCTACTTACGGGGATGATGTCTAGGCTGGATTTAGTGAGGTGTTTAAAATGAGATTTCCAAACAGTATACTTTATATACCAAACAGACCCTACCCCCAAAATGATCCTACCTGGTTGTCTCTTATCAACTATAGATAAGTAGACTTTGAATTAATGATGAATCTAGACTAATAATTAGTCGCAATAGACTAAGACTTAGTGATAATGACACTAGGTTACGTAAAAGGAAAAAGACATTTGCTAGAAGCGAAGCATTGTCCGAATTTCGAGTCATCACTTTAACATGTGAGTGCATAGTCCATTTCATGAACATGATTTTGATACAAGTATTAATTAAAGTATTAACTATATGTTTATGTGTGAGATATTTGATATTACCTGAATTACGTGTTATGAGCATATATGATAATATACGATAATTTTGGACTTACAGAATAAACCTAAATTAATTAAGATGAATATCAGGTAGTATCTCCTTATGAGTACGGGTGAGATATACACGGAGGGTAAAAATTTAAAATTTGTCATTGATCCGAGAGTATGAATTAGACATAGTCATCCGTCCTTAGTCCGAGAGTATGGAGAGGACATAGTCATTTGTCATTAATCCGAGAGCATGGATTAGACATAGTCATTCGTCCCTAGTCCGAGAGTATGGAGTAGGCACATTCATTTGTCATTGATCCGAGAACATGGATTAGACGTAGTCGTTTATACCCGATCCGGGAGTATGGATTAGGTAAAGCCGTTCATTTTAGATCCGAGAGTATGAATCGTGTCGTTGTGATGATCGACGGGGTGGGGTAAATTGCTTATATGAGGTGAAATTGTATCTTGCGAGTTCTAATATATATATATATATATATATATATATATATATATGTTATAACATTATGGGATTGAAATCCCTATGTACTCACCAGGTTCTAAAATATATATATTTTATTGTATCACATGTAACAGTATGAAAGATACATTCTACTGAGAGATTAAAGGAGTATTATGCAACTAGTTTAATTACTGTAAGGTTTGTAATATTTCGTTATGCTTATGTTTATGTATTGACGATGACATCCTAATGTTTTAATATAAATAGAATACATTTTTTCGAAAATGATTTGATAATATGATTATCATGTTTTCTGGGAACAAATTCCGCAATATTATTCTTCAAAAATGATACTCTTATTTTTTTTAATAAGCATAGACAAATCGATATTTTTCTGCCTGTGAAATTGGGGATGTCACAGAATGCACATCCGTTGAACACTTATAGAAAAGAATCGGTCAAATTTGAGTTCATATGAGAGAGTTATTATTGTTCAAGGTTGAGGACAAATTATGCACATGTATGGTAAAAAAAAATGACGAACTCTGAAAAATTTAAGTTTTCAAGTACCTATGTTTTGGTCTATGTAACTCATGTTATACTTATCCAAATCAACTCATTATTGAGCCTAAGACAAAGAAGAAGATGCCGGAAGAAGAACCAACGAAATCGAGTCCATAAGAGAGAGTTATAAATGTATAAAGTTGAAGATTTTTTTACACATGTATGGTAAGAAAAAAATAACCAAGTCTTATAAGTTTTAAGTCTTCAAAGTACCTATATTTAAGATCATGTAATTTAGATCATACTTATTCAAATTAGTAGATTCTGGAACTTAAGATGTAGCCAAAACATAAAAAATACAGGTTGAAGAATCAATTCATTCAGAATTCATAAGAAAGAGTTACGAGTCTAATATGTATCCAATAAACAAACTAAGAAATCCCGATTCGGTTTTTACCTGGACCGAATGGTACTGGACCGTATATTCGTTAGAACTTAAGGGGACTAAGTACCTATATGAAATAGTTATATGATACGAATAACGTTGTCATAAGTTTTTTTGATGCAAAATAATTTCTATAATACTCATCCCTAATTTTTATAATATGAATTAATTTAATTTCATTTATTGGAATTTTTTCAACTCCCAAACGATTTGGATTCATGAGTTATTTCATTGGAGTATAGTAACCAAAGAGAACAATATAATGGTAATAATCGAGTTAAATATACATTTATTCCATTAGTTTGTCCATTCTTTTAACTTTGGGTTATTTCTCTTATCTTTTCATTCAATCCAATCAAACATACCCATTCAATCGCTAAATCGAGCACCTTTTTCCCTAATCCACAGTGGGTACTGCATTGATTGTTTAGATTTTGTCGAAGTCTCACGCGATTCGTACTCTTATTGACTCGTTTAACTAGGAGGGTTTTCGTGTTCTTGATCATTTGTTCTGTTAAATTATTCCAGTTTCTCGTTTTCCTTTTCGATACCCTGTTAGGGTTTCCGACACCAGAACAAAAGAGCCAATTGGGGTTGACGGTGTGTATAAGTTCGATTGTCGATGGAGGCGGCCGCTAGCGTCGCCGTCGCAGCGCGTGGTGTTTCTCTGACGATGCCATCCTCTCAGTCTCAATCTTCTCGGAAAGAATGGCGTGTTGTTTCAGACCATCCCGTTCAAAACTCCGGCAACGACGTAAGTTCCTTTAACTGATGTTTTTTCATTTTTCGTTTTTTCCCTCACAATGTTAGGGTTTTAGTACATGTTATCTGTTTCGATTATCAGGACTTGGACCGTTCGAAGCTAGGGCAGGGTGACGAGAGACTGGTATATGAGGTATGATACTTGTTCGTTTGAGTTAGTGTTTTTAGGTTTTCTCTTATTCAAGCTGGGTCTGGGTGTAAAGGAGTGTGATTTGTGTGCATCAGGGTAGAGAATCTGTGAATGGAGGTTCCGATCATGAACTGCGTCTTGATGATGTTGTGAAACAAAGAGAACAACTTCAACATTTAGAAGTTAATCTCAAAGCTCGACTTATAGCCAGATCAGAAGTAATGGGGATGCAGGAAGGCTTTGATTCTCAGATCAAAGAGCACATTACTGCATCTGTCAAACTGCAGGTTAGTAAGAATGTCTTTGATCCTATAGTTTATTTTTCGCCATAAATTACTTGTCACTTACTGGAATGTGGTGGTATAAAGGAGCAACTACATGAAAGGGAAAAAGCTATAATGGAATTGCAAAGGACTTTGGATGATAAAGATAAAGAACTTCATGCAATTAGTTTGGATCATGAAGCAGTATGTGTGACCTGTAAACATTCATTTCATTCTTTTTATTTCATCTGTCATTATTTAATATAACTGCTATTCTCCATTGGTACAGGCATGGGCTAAAGAGGACCTCTTACAAGAGCAAAACAAAGAATTGGCAACCTTCCGGTATTTCTTTGAATATATATATATATATATATATATATATATATATATATATATATGTGTGTGTGTGTGTGTGTGTGTGTTGGTGAATAGTGACAGTTTAGGTCTCAGTTTTTTGTTTAATGAATTATTTTTATAGGAGAGAGCGTGATAATGCTGAAGCTGAAAGGGCTCAACATCTTCAAAAAATCCACGACTTACAAGAACATGTTCAAGAAAAAGAGCGCCAGTTCTTGGAATTACAGGAACAGGTACTCTACTTTGCATGTTTATAATTTCTATGCTGTTTGCTTCCATCATAGAAAATGGCAATGCAAACATTACAAAGCTATTAACTTTTTTTCCCTTTGTGAAAAAATGTTATGACCTGTGCCATTTTTTCAGCATAGAGTTGCTCAAGAAACTCTCATTTATAAAGATGAGCAAATAAGAGAGGCACAGGCTTGGATTGCACGTGTTCAGGAGATGGATGCCTTGCAGTCAAATACAAATCACTCATTACAAGCTGAACTCAGAGAACGCACTGAACAATACAACCAGCTTTGGGTTGGTTGCCAGAGACAGGTTGCTTCTTAAGTTACAAAAATAGTGTTACAAGTTATACAGACAATTCTACTTTCACATATCTGACATTGATGACGTGTCAGTTTGCTGAGATGGAGAGGCTTCATTTGCACACACTGCAACAACTTGAAATTGAGTTGTCTGAGGCAAGAGAAAGAAATGGCACTATCTCTGATGGGAACCGCACTACTCATGTGAAGGATGTATCTCATTTTGTGCATAACAATGGAAGCCAGCTGGAGGGTAGAGGAGGAAGCAGCCCTGCTGGCGATTCTAGGGGCGTCCAAAATGGAGATGCAGAAGTTGTCTCTTCACAGGTAGATGTTGGTATTTATATGTATACAGAAAGTCATTTACATAAAATAATAATAATCTATTGGATTTCAGAATGAAAATCTTCCTGCTGTTCAAGTTGCTCCTCAGTCAATGCATGGAATGCCAGCTTTCTTTTCACCTGGACAGCTGGCACCTTTGCATCCATATATTCTACACCATCAAGGGTTACCTCAAAATGTGAATTCACATCTTGTTCAGTCTCATGTTGGCCAGTTTCATTCTGTGCCCACTTGGCAGAATCAACAGGTGCAAGCAGATATATTCTAATTTGTGATTTCACAAGAGTTTTACTGTATACTTATTCTTTACTTTTTTTTTCAGGCTATCTCAGAAAGTTTACAAATCCCAGTTCATGAACAGTATTCTTCCCAAGATGATCAAAATTCATTGAGACAGTATGAAGCGGCTGTAAATGAGCAATCACAGCAGAGCTTGCAGCAAATATCGTCTCAGTTTCATGACACTTTAAGGTTGAGTGATTCTGACAATGGCAATTTACACCAGGTTAGCTTTTTCTATACTCTAGACTACTGAAATCAAACAGAAGTCTCTGTATCGAATGAATTAGGGAAATTGACTGAATGGTTACAGACTCCACTGATATTCAAGAGACCAGGAGTCTCCTAGAGCTCAAGCTCACAAGCAATTCAGTTACAGAAGTACATAACCCTCTAACGAACTCATGATCAGCTATTTAGAGCTCTGATGCACCGGCTCTACATAGAAAAGACTAGATTGCCCTTTTACATTACATGCTCATGTTTTGTTCTGTGAAAGACTAAACTCTTCCTCCTCTTGCATAAGTAAATTGTAATGGTCCAGCAGCTTTATGTTACCAAATCTGTTTTTTTGCTATTTTATTTTTATCCCACTAAGATTAAGTTTTGACTTTTGAGTAACAGGGAAAGAATGCAAGTTTTTTGTCTAGTCATGGAAGCGAAGCTCAAAGTCCACCCACAGAACAGCAACAGCTTGGTTCTGGTGCTACGATTGGATCTGAAGTGATTCAGTCAGTGAAGGTGAGTGAAGGCACTAGTGCCCCTGTGCCAGAAAGATATGCCCCCACTGCTTCTGAAACAAAAATGGGTCTTTTTGATGAAGAAACTTTGTTGGCTTGTGTTGTTCGTACAATTCCACCTGCTCCTGGAGGAAGAATACAAATCAGCTCAACGGTTGGTAACCCATAATAACCTCATTTCAGTTTTATATTTTTATAAAAATATGCGCTATTTCTTGTGCCTTTAATCATTTCTTATCGGTCAAATTGCAGAGAATAGCAATGTACTTTACTCTAGCTACCAGTCTGGGCAATGTACTCTTTATCTTTTATACATAATAGGCAAATGACAACATACTTGTTTTTTACCTATAAATAGCAACACAATTACACTTCGCAACCAATATAGGCATTGCTATTATGGTAAAGAAATGTAAGTATGTTGCTATTATGTGTAAAAACTATAAGTATGCTGCTATTATGAGTAATATGCTCTGCCATTATTGGTAAAAAAATGTAACTGTCTTGCTATTATGGGTGAATAGTTGTAAGTATATTGCTATTGTGGTTAAGGGTAAAAATAAAAGCATATTGCTTATGTTGATGAAAAGAGTAAAGTAGGTTGGTATTTCTTATCTGAGTATTTGACAGTTGACAGTTTGACTATTACTGTATTGACAGCTGTTGAGCAGACTGACAAAAATGCTTGCACCTCTTCGTTGGTCTGATTACGAGAACAGGCATGGAAAGTTGGTTGCCTTTCTGGGAAGTCATCCTGAAGTGAGTTCATGTTTCTGAATTCTGATTATATATATATATATATATATATATATATATATATATATATATATATATTTGCTTGTGCGTGTGTAAATGAGTTGAATTAAACTTTTTTTTTTTTCTTTGTGTTTCAGTTGTTTGTGATTGAAGGGGATTATATTCAGGTGAGGGAGGGTGCACAGGAAATCATTGCAGCTATGGTGGCTCATGCAAAAGTGCGTGCTGCTGCTGTTGCTGACTCAGCAACCTCTTCCAATCTGTCGCTGCTGTCTTCGGTTGCTGTCACTCCCATGGCAAGAACCCGATTGAAGAAGGCCCCAATGCCAGCTGTCACCTCCAATTATGGAAATGCTAATGGTGTTGGTGGTGTAAGACTTGTCACCAAACAGAATGATCAAATGAGACAAAACGGGAGGCCCACAGCTACAGCCACTCCAAATTACAATGGGAAACAGCAGCAGGGGAGCAGGTAATACTTTTTTTTTGAACATATGAAACAAAAGTTGTTCATTAGTTTACATGATTATGGTTGATAGAATCTTGTTTGTGTGACAGGAGTCGAGGAAGCTTCCAAGTGTAATGAAGTTATAGAATTGGAGTTGGAATTGAAACTTTGTTACTTTGTGTTGGAAAAAATGTATCTCCTGTGTGGGTGTCTGTTTAACTTACACTTGCAGCAGCATGGGCTTCGTGGTCTGTTGGTTATTTAAGAATGATTTGAATGGATTAAAGTTCAAGGCTTCTGGTACCCACAGTCACTAGTGCTTGCAGTAAGGTTGTGTTTGGTTTGTGGATTTCGACAGAATTTAGTTGTGTTGGAATCATTCAAATTTCATGCGGACTATCATGCTTCACAACTGGTTTTCTTGATTTATGAATGCGTATGACTTAGTCTGAGAAGGGGTGTGGCTACCTATTAGCTCATCAAGTGGTCCAACCAATACCAAACTCTTAACAATTTGGAGCAAGGCAATCCCATATTGCATTATATATGTTCCTCCTTTCATGTCATAAGTGAGTCAAAAGCCTATAAACACCTCATGTTAACAATTTGGACATAAAGCTTCAGAAAATGTTTATTCAAGATTAACACGATGACATGGCTCCGTGAAGTTTAATCTTGCAGTGGGTCATTCTGATATTCACCAACAATGGATACATGTGAATCTGTAATCTTGCATTGGGTCATTTTGATATTCACCAAAAATGGATACATGTGATTTTGTCTCTTACGCTAAGATCATCTGAACTCCTGAACGTCACAAATCCTTCACATTAGCGACGGTATTTCAAAACCACTAGTGAAGCTATGACTGATTTTGTAGATTTAGAAGACAAATCATATCATTTTTAAGGATTAGACATGCAAATATGGAGCACATAAACGTCGTGATGAAAACAATGTACACCATATATCAATTCAACATGATAAAACACCACTCCGTAAGGCTCTAATACCTAAATACCAAATTCTTAAACAAACGATTTCACCTTTTCAACACAACAATCCCCAATGTCTTCAATGACCTCATGTTGTGAAGAATATACATGGTTCTAAAGCCATGGGTTTGTGATTTCGCCAGAGTGAACCGTTCAGTCACCACTACATCCGGTTAATCTTAGTCACCATCACATCCAGTTAATCTAATTCATTGTGAATAAAATGTCTCAAATTAAATTAATGTTTGTTTTCTCATAAGTTGTTTCTCATTTGCAAGTGCTTCAAGTACAATCATTTGTCTAAACATGTTCCAAAAAAATTCAATTGTTCGGGCTACACTTGGTTTTCTCGTAACACTTGGAGTTTCAATTTTATATGGTTCTGCAACGAATTTGAAAGATGTGGGCTATGCTCAAATATCTCTTGTCAGATTTGTCTTGTTAAGAGCGATTCACTCTATTTGATGTTACATGTCATGTAAAACATATAGTTAAACTGAAATCATTAAGAATTCTTTTGACAATGTTGAAGGTTTGTATCAACAATACAACTTAATGACAATCTTACCATTTAGGTCTCCATGTTTAATCCTATTTTTCTTTAGAACTCATTAATACACTCCATTAAATCATATTCACATTCAATATCCAATGCCGTGGGCACGTTGAATTTTAGACCAAGTACATGACATGTAATTTGTAGTCGACTCAGTTGAAGAAAAATCTAATGATCCACGTACCTAATCAAATATAGTACTTAAATGACATGTTACATTGGTATAACTTTGTCTAGACAGACCTTATAGTCTATATTTATCCATCATAAACCTTGATTTTATCACTACATTTCATGATCTAGTCCCAATAGCATATTTCCAAAAATCATGTTAGCATTTCGTATAGCTTTGAGAATGAACTTCCTATAATTGATATAGTATGTGTTGGTGATTTTAGTGTCACCGGTTCATTTTATCTAATAAGATTGATGTTGGTATGACCAAAATCAGATTTGACTGGGGTTGTGCCCCTATTTCTAACAAGACGTGGACAACTATTAGTGCTCCCACTAGCTCTAATGAAAACATGCAAATCTTATTCTTTAAGCAAAATCAAGTTCCTTGATCTTATAATAAGAAAATAATTATTGTTGGATATTGGCTTCGAATGAAACCAATATACTTCATTAAAAAGCTTTGACACCCTTGAATTGCTTAAAAATGCACCTGTAAGTAGTCCTTGTGTGACAACCGTCAATTCCCGGTCAAGTCAAAGTCAAATAAAGTCAACAAGTCAAACCGGTCAACTCAATTAACCCTTGTATATTAGGGTTTACATTATGTTACTACTGTACAACTCGCTATTTTAATAAGAAGTTATCACTTGAAAAATCCATATGTTCAGAATTCCCAAACCCTAATCAGGATAAGTGATGAAACTACTTGGTAAAAACATTATTTCGTACCCCTCGGGGGCGTACAACATTCATAACAAGGCTTAACGGGGTTTACAAACCTTGCGTAACGAAGCTAAACAACCAAAAAGGTCTCATACGAACTCTCTCTCAAATCTCTCTCTCTCTCTCTATCTCTCTACCTCAAATCTCTCCCAAATCTCTCCAAGTATGTGAAATCTCTCCCAAATCTCTCCAAGTATGTGAAATCTCTCCCAAATATCTCTAAGTATGTGAAACCTCTCCCAAATCACTCTAAGTATGTGAAACCTCTCCCAAATCTCTCTAAGTATGTGAAACCTCTCCCAAATCTCTCTAAGTATGTGAAATCTCTCCCAAATCTCTCTAAGTATGTGAAATCTCTCCCAAATCTCTCTAGGTATGAGAAATCTCTCCAAGAATGTGAAATCTCTCCCAAATCTCTCTAAGTATGAGAAATATCTCCAAGAATGTGAAATCTCTCCCAAATCTCTCCAAGTATGTGAAATCTCTCCCAAATCTCTCTAAGTATGAGAAATCTCTCCAAGAATGTGAAATCTCTCCCAAATCTCTCTAAGTATGTGAAATCTCTCCCAAATCTCTCTAGGTATGTGAAATCTCTCCCAAATCTCTCTCAAAATCTCTCTCAACTTTTTATAATCACTTGGGGCATCCCGACCCTTGATTTAGTCGAAAACCGCTCGAAAACGGAAGTTTATGCGAAAAACAGCCTTAAGGAGCCGAAACCTCTTAAGGAGCCGAAACCTCTTAGGAACCGAGCCTCCCTTAAGGAACTGAAACTAGCATAAGAACCGAACCTCCTTCTAGAGCTGAAGTACCCTTCGCCTTCGGTCCCTCTTCAGATGGCTTCGCCTGCGATACCTGCTCGGACCGAACCTCTCCCTCTCGGTTCTAATACATCAACCGAACCAGCCTTCGGTTCTAACCCTCTAAGGACCGAAACTACGGCCAGACTTCGGAAAATATCATTTTCTTCCCGGTTTTTGACCCCAACTCCGTTTTAAGCCCGTTTTTCGTGACTTTAATGCGGGATTTTCACCCAAACTCGTATTTTAACATAAGAGACCCTAAATATTCATTTTTTTTATTTTATTTTGGGGAAAATCTTTGTCCAAGAATAAAATCTATTAAGTTAGATTTTGTGATAGAGTGTTGACTTTCTATAAGTTTATGACACAAGCAAACCCCCCATACCTTCATAGTACAACCCTCAGTCACTATTCCCCCCTACCTAGTCTACTATTGTCCTTTGGCACCCCTCCTCCAGCTGTAAAGGTTCATCAAAAGCTGAAAAATATCCTCTCTCCTTCCACTTTACTCACTCTCTCACCAAAGAGCAAACACCTCTCTTTCTCTTTCCCTCTCTAGAACTCGAGATTTCAAGGTTACTCTTGAGCTTTTCACTTCAGTCTTGATAAGTAAATTCATCCTACATTTGAATACTCTACACTCTTTCACTCAAATCATAAATCTCTTAAACAAATATCATCATATTTGTGCTTAGGGTCTTCGAATCCTCAAATATCTCACAAGTGTTCTTGACTTGGAAACCTCTTTTCTTCCACCTTCATCTCAGAGAATAACTGAAGGTGAGTTCATAACCCTACATTTTCACGTTTTCTTCAAGTTTTAGGGGGAATACAAGTTAAAAATACCAAAAACTTAACTAAACTCAAACAACAACTTTCATCAGAAAAGTCGAGTCTTATTCGCATACTGTTTTGACCATCTTAAACTTAATATCTTTCAAAACTGTTTAATATGCATGGAGTTCAGGTTATTTCCTTTAAAATGACTACTTGCACATCTCCATACGATTTTTCTACAATTTATGGTGATTTTTACAAAACTGCCTATCATTTCAGAAATGAATTCGGACCAGTCTGTGAATATGAACATTTTCACACAAGTTAGAGACTTCTAAAAATCATAATAAAAATTATGAATAAACTAGACACATTTTATGAACTCTCAAAATTTACGGATTTAGTTTTCGACTTCGTATGATTTTTCTATGATATTTTTAAAACAATGCATAAAGGTTAAAAACTAGTTACATATCTTACAATATTAACAACACTTTGTAGCATGTTGAGCAAAGTGCGTAACAATAAGTTCTAAATGTTGAATGTATTTCTTGTTAGTTTATCATCATAAACAGAAATTTAGTCATTCATCAAAATGACTCTTCATTCATTTCGAACACATATAATAAACTACTATAAGCATAGTTTATGGGTTTTTACTACATAAAAAAGGTTTTTACTCTCAAAACAAATGGGTTTTTCATATACTACTTGATAAAATATAATAGTAATAGTTTATGGATTCATATCACTAATTTATTTTCATAAAAGGTGATTTCACTTCCACCACGGAAGGGGTTTAATACTCAAACTATATGTAAACTAGTTAACGTAAGTTGTGAGACAATTCTCTCATCGTACTCTTAGAGTACGGGTTCAAATTTCTGTAATTTATAACCAGAGTCTCTTGTAGGGAGAGCGTGATAATTGTGTATAGATCTATATTGGGATTGACACCCCACACCTCGCTGCTAGCTACAGCCGAACTGGCAGGTCTACGTGTGACAAGAGTCATAGGATCTTAACGTCTGAAAAACGTTGTTACAAGTTATTTCTCGTCAAGTATGGTTATAACGACTCACATAGGGAGTTAACAATCTTTCAAGTTTACAGGGAACATTCTACTTTAAAAGGGGTTTTATCTATTTAAAACTACAATCATGTTATAAGTATAAAACACACTCATACTCTCGGTCCTGGGATTTAGGACTGCATGTCTTTTATAAGGAAAATATTGGATTTTCTTTGGAAATACATTTCT